GCGTCGTTGCCACGGTTCACGCCACCTCCGAGACCCACGGCCGACTTTCATGAATGAAACCCACGTGGATCGCACGTGACCGTTCGCGTCGAACCCATAATTTCTAGCTTTCGACCTTGACCGATCCTTTCGAGGATTCGTCTCTCATTACCCGGGAACGTTAAACGAACCTTCGGTCTCTTTCGATCCACAAAAATCGGCTTTGTTGGTCCGCCGATCTACCGATCTACCGATCTCCGATTCCTTAACGATATCGTAGATGAATAGATAAACGGAAAGGGGAAAACAAGATGCGCGAACGGGAGGGCGGCGGAGGGGCTCCCACCACCACCCTCGTCGCCACTACCTCACCTGCGCCCCACTCCACGAGCGTTACATCTACCACCACCATCGACGGTACGTCCAACGTTGACGGCGACGGCGGCACCCACCACCGACGTCATGCTCGTCCTCGTTGCTTTCGCTCTCGGCGTGGACGTTTTCGTCGGCGTTGGTACCGGTACACAGTCGGTGGTCGCGGTCGGTGTTAGGTGGTTAGAAGGAAATAGATCGGAGAGAGAGGCGACGCGACTCGTGGACGGTTCGTCCACGTGGTCCGGCTCCGTGGCCGGCTACGATCGGCTCTTCCGGTAGGAAGTCGTGATTTAATTAAGATCGAAGTGAGCGTGCGCAAGTACCCCGACACGCAGACGCCGATCGATCGGCCGATCGATTCGCGATCAGTTGAAAGGGTGCTTTTCACAAAGGAAAGAGAGCAGAGACGATGAGCGACGGCATAGTTGGCGCGATCGCGATCAGTTTGTTCGGTACGAAACGATACAAATATCCGATCGATTTTCACTGACGGACGCCTCGTTCCAGGCAGCGAGAAGAAACGTCGGGACAGCATGGATGCCGGTTACACGATTCTTGGCAACGACGTCGACGCGTGCAGAATGTTCGACCAGTTCTCTTACAAGGTCAGTCCTTTCGACCGCGATTCCTTTTTCTTTCGGACCTTAGTGTCGCATGACCTCTGGGAGTTGATAGAATTTCAAAGGACACTTTCCGGGAATATACGTATGCAGTATGTATAAGGTGAACATGCATTATGTAGAGAGCATACTTTATTGACCGAATATTTCTGACCAAACGCGGTGACCAAATTATTTTATATTCACCGAATCATTCTGCAGTTATATCATAGTAGATTGACCGAGTCATTTTACGTTCACCATGTTACATTGACCGAATCATTCTGCATCCACTGTACCATGTTACATTGACCGAATCATTCTAACCAAACTATTCTTCGTTGACAAAATTATTTTATATTGACCGAATCATTCTGCATCCACCATACCATATTACACTAGCCGAGTCATTCCACATCCACCATACCATATTACAACCTAACCGAATCATTCCACATCCACCATACCCTGTTACAACCTAACCGAATCATACTACGAGTCCTTCCACATTGATTCAAAGTGCCATTTTTTGGTACACGAAAATTACAAGCGAACGTTGCGTTTACAATCTTTGGATGAAATATACGCGTACCCATCGTCGATGCGGCAATCGCGATCCGTGTTTGCGAGCGCGCTAAGTAAATTCGTTCTAACGAACGTCGGTAATTGAATTCGCTTATCACGACGCGTTTGGATAAGAGCTCGTCGTTTAATGAAAACAAAATGTTTACCTCCTTCCGTTCGGCACTCGACGTTTCTATGATTCGTCTTCCCTTTGCGTTTTAAACCTGATCATCCCGACCTTATTACACGTTGGTGTATCGACCGGTAGGTGATATCCATTAATTTTTATTGGGCTTTTCATTTTTGTGAGGTGAAAGGTAATTGTGCAGAAAGACGGTAAGGTTAGGTTAGGTTAGACTAATTTTCTTTGCTGATAGCTTTCATTTGACTCCCATAATGATAATCAGTTGGGAGGTTAGGGTAGGTTAGGTAGGTTAGGTCGGTTAGGTTAGACTAACTTTTTTGCTAATAACCTTTTCTGACTTCAACAACGGTAATCAGTTGGGAGGTTAGGCTAGGTTAGGTAGGTTAGGTCGGTTAGGTTAGTCTAACTTTTTTTGCTAGTAGCTTTTTTCTAACTCCGACAACAATATTCATTTGGGGAGGTTAGGTAGGTTAGGTCGGTTAGGTCGGTTAGGTTAGGTTGGGTGGAACATACTGTCTGCACGAGTAGATCGTTCTGTTTGCGATGACAATAATCAATCGGGAAGGTTAGGTATGTTAGGTAGGTTAGGTCGGCTATGTTAGGTTAGGTTAAACAACCTTTCGTTGGAAGTAACTTTGTTCTAACTCCAACAACAATAATCAGGGTTAACAAGGATAATAATAATGAAGGTTCGGTTAGGTTAGGCCTGGTAGATTAGTTAGTTAATAATTATGTAAGAGATATGATGTACATTGTTCTGAAAAATTTGTCAGATAGCTTGAACGATATTCTGCACAGTTACCGATGATACTACATTAGCAATAAATACTAACATATTATATGCTATAGACAGATAATAACCTCCATTGATGAACTTTGTAATTAATCCACCTTGCAAATAATCAGCCCTGCAAATGATCAACCTTGCACAATAAACTCGATGATGCTGCACAAGCATCATCCCCACAAAGTACCATACCAAGTGCATAATCCCCCAATACAATATACGTAGCCAAGCATTACCAACAGCTGAATTCACATTAGTATTTCACCTCGTGCACCGGTACAATTTCGCTAATCTTTTTCACGTGCGAGAATAAAAAACGTTCACGTTTGATACCGGCAATATCCCGGGAGATTAAGCCCGATCGGCGGAGAGCGGAAAAGGAAGAATACGAGATGAAACGGAGTGCCGGGAGCAAACGCGAGCATTTTAGCGGTAGGCCGCGTCGGGTAACCGGACAGTCGGGTGTTCGTTGGACGAAACGTCCAGGTAGGAGAACGGGAAGAGCCGGGACGGGTTGGATAGGTCGACCAGCTGACCAGTCGGTAGCGAAGCCACTGACAAAATCATGAGCCACTTGTTGATCGGTCGATGACCGCGAGCACCGTATCGCTCGAAACGCGATACTGCCCACAGCTGGAAAGAATGCACATCGGTACCTTGCAACTGTTCAACTCTGACGGGTGAGATGTTCAGAGGAACCAGAGTATACTCTTTGGGATACTTTGTTAGGTCTTAGCATCCTCTGAACCATCAGAGGAATGTGGAGACATAGGTATTTAGGGTCCTGGGAATTTTAGAGCCCATGGATATAATATTCTAGGAATTGGGGGAGAATTTTGGAGATGTGGAAATATAGGAGACGTAAGAACTTAAGGATAGGGTCCTTGAGATTTTGAGACATAGAGACGTGGACATGGAGACATAGGTGCTTAAGGGACCTAGTACATTGCATATGTATTCAATGATGTCTGACAATTTGTATATACGCAGTTAAAAAATTTGGAAAATAACGTCCAAAGCGTTGAACTCAGATTCCGGTTTCTTACGATCAGTTGTCCCTCGGTCCCGAGCCTATCTTGCTCTACCTTACCACCCTACTCTTTCGATTCGCGTTCCCGACCTCGCGAGCCAGCCAACTCGCGAATCCCCCTGTTCCTCCCCTTCTTTGCCTTGCCTACTCCGCGGTACCCATCTCCATCTACCTACGCTCTCCCCTCGGTCTCACCCTAGCCACCCGTGCGTTTCTCCGAGCTACCTCCCCGTTCGCTCGTTCGCCCGTTCGCGACCCCCTATCCACCTCGAGTTTCGCTGTGCTTGCTTTCCTCTTGTTTCTCTTCCGCCTTTCTCTCTCTATCTCTCTCTCTTCGCCTCTTCCCCCTTGTCACCCTCTCTTTCTCTCTCGTTAAATCAATAAGCTGTTCGGTCTACTGCCACACCAACGACGGGGCACTTTGGCCGATTTTATTTCCGATCGGATTTCACGCGGTCCACGTCGCGAAAAAATGTCGCGAATTACTGCGACCACGTGTCTCTGCGACATGTCTCTACCGATCTCATCGATCTCCTACCGATTCCTAGTTCCACGATTTCTACTAGGAGCATAAAGAATTAATCACACGAATATACACTCGCTCAAAAAAATTCAGGATAATCCGGATATTACTCATAAAAATGTAGGAATAAAGATACAAAGCCCACGAGGGGGCCAATAAAAGAAAACACAGTGGTCTCCTGTGCCCCGCCTGCCGCGCATGCGCAGTCGAAACATTGCTTAATTAAAGAACAATGCATATACAGAACAATAGAAAGTTTGCCGTACGTTCGATAGAGGACGAAAATCTAAGCAGAAAAGTCTAATAACATTTCCCGATACGTTGCGTAGTTCGCCCACAGTCGATCATTGAAAATTAGTGTAATCATCAATCAGTGCGAAGCGCGCGAAATTCAAACCGCTGCGCTAGCCCTATGAATCAGCGTCGATTACGTACGTCAATTACGGTAAAATTATGCATTAAATTCATAAGATGTGTTCTATACCGTGATAGAGATATGAGTCTGAAAACTTTGGTGGAGGGGGTTCTTCCTGTAAAGTTTCTCTATTTGGCCACCATAATGGCGGCGCTACGATATGAAAGTCACATTTCATCCTCTTTGCATATCATGCATAAATAAAAGTCTTAGCAAATGCTATGGTATAATAACAGAGCCGTAAAAGTTACCTTTTACATAATAAAAGTTACGTGAAAATAATTGGTTATGTGTCCGATTTTTGGGACGATCTTTTTGCATGACAGCGCCCGCGGTCACTTTTCGAAACACGTCCTGTAAGACTACCCCAAGCAGTTTCCTGTCTACAGGCGTGATCACGTGACTACGGTATTAGACGCAGCTGTAATCGCATGACGCAACAGTGTCGACAAATGATGAAATTGCGCGTACGGTTCGAGAAAGGTGGATCCTGCAATTATACAAGCAATAAAACCCGCATGCCATGGACTTCTTCTGGCGAACGAGATCGGGGTGAAAGAGTAGCGGGTAACCGTAGGTAGCGAGTCGGTAAAGCGAGCGAATAAAGCGTAACGGAGAAACGGAGAAGCGGAGAAGCGAGTTTGTTCGTATTCGAAAGTTTCGTAGCAAACTCGGCAGCGAGGCAGTCGAATACAATGGCCCGGCAAAAGTTTCCGCGAAACTAAACAAGTTTATTTAACTTACCTCTGCGCACCGGTTCCCGTTCCCCTCTCTCTCTCTCTCTCTCTTCTCGAGTAGCATCGTAGAGTCCCCCACCTGCTTCTCCACCTTTCGTCAAATACGCTTCTTCTTCGCTCGCCCATCTTTCTCCTCTCCTTCGTATCGTCCCGTCTCGTCTCGTATGCTTTCATTTTCTCTCTTTGCAGCTCCTTCCCTCGCTGATCCTACTTGCACGGGACCGCCCCTGTACCCGCAATAACGGCAAGTTTTCCAAAAGTTTCCGACGGATTAACGACTATTGGAATTGTTCGAGTTACGGAGGAGAGAAGCGCCTACGAAGAACGGGTCTCGAGGTCTTTGGTTCGTGGAGAAGCACGCGGTTGGGGCCCCGAGTGTAGCGAATATGATCTAGGGAAACTAGAATTTTCAAGATTTCACTGAAATAATTTCTTAGATGCTTCATTGAAAGGACATGTATGTCATTTTACACGGTATGGTCAATTTAAAGTTACTCTTCATTGGACAATAGCATTTTGGACGTAAAACGTGTTTGAATTAACCGCGCAAAACCGGTTTCAATAGGTCGGACCCCTTCGTACTTCATCGTATTTCAACGTGACGCACGTGCAAGAAAGTTTGAAGGCTCATAGAACACATAGTATAACAATCAGTATGTTTTAATATATTCTTTATTCGTTATTTAATTTAATATTTTTCACAGTATATTTTACTCTTATACCGTCACTTTATCTTGTAGATATTAACGAAGACCACTGCTACTATAGTCACAGACATTTTCAGGTTATTAACTTCGTTTTCTAATTGGTGAATGTCTGAAGAAATAATTTTGGAAACCCTCCGAATTTTGTTTCAGTTAACAAAGAGAGAATAGCGTTGAGCGGAAAACGAAAGGAAGACTCGTGTGGTAGGGGAGCGTAGTTTTACGTCCGCGGAGTATATGCTTCGAAATGGGATACGTATGTGGTTGTATATCTTCTTTATGGCAACCATTAACATATTTTTTGCCGTCCGTATTACCATACAATAGTGGCGCAAATATTACAACTTATGGTCGTAAATCAAAGCGGGGGAAAGGGAGACTGGAGGAACGGAACGGCGGGATAAGAAAGAGAGCGAAAGCGGGAATCGCGAATAAGAATGGAAACGGCAATAGGTGGAAAACATACGGCCCCGAAACGAGAGAGATGGAAGGAGGGAGAGAACGAGAGAGAAAGGGAAAAAGATATCAACGCGTACACGGGGAACCGGCTAGAACGCTGAAAGTATAGCTCGGTAAAAGAGAGACCAGTCCTTTCGTTTCTATCGTGGACAAGATATCGAGGCCACGTCGTGACTGCGCAAGGTCGTTGACACGGGCCACGTTACCGAACATTATTCTCGATAAACGGGGTTACTCGATCGTTTAGTGCCTGCCGTTATCGATTGTCGATACTATCGATATGTTGACATGCGTAATTTTATTCAGATTTTTGTTCTTCTTCAAACTTAACCTGTACTTCTATTCCGATTTTTATTTATCTTTAAACTTAACCTGTACTTTTATTCCGATTTTTATTTATCTTCAAACCTGTACGTAATTTTATTATCTTGCAAATATAACGTAATGACAGAGATTCGATCAAATTACTCGTTAATTACATGCTCGTTATTTTCGTAATTATGTATTCAATGATATGTTAACGATAGCATCGATAACAGCAGCAGTAAAAAGCTTCCCATGAAAATAAGACGATCGTTTTGAAAACGTAAAATTATTAGTGCCCATGTATCGTGTTTCTCTCGAAATATTTCGTGGAGGCGATATATTTTTCGTTTGCGCTGGAGCGCATTAAAACGGAAACGTCGGAGAAATTTCAGATAACGTTCAATAGTAAATTAAGATATAATAACTTTCGTGAAAGTTGTACGGTGGCGAGGAGATGGAAGAGAAGAAAAAGACGATGGAAGTAGAGGGACGAGGAGGTGGAGAACTCCATTAACTTTTATTTCTCCGGGAAAGTAACTTTACCCTCCTCCTTCTCCCAGCCTCCTCTGTTCTCCCCGTTCCAACCACCCCCACCCGTTTCTCCCTTCCCGGTCGCACCACCCCCG